GTGACCTTTGTAAGAAGCATGTTAATCAGTCTTCATTTCCAGATAGGAAAAGATTCCAGTGAAGAAATATTAAGACACTTATCCAAGTTTACCCAGATCAACTGATTAGATGATCAGGCAATAGGAGATCCGATCTGTTGTCCAAGATACCGGAGTTTAAACCTTGAGGCTAATATTTTACTAGCTCTTGTGACCTTGGGTAAGTATTTAGTTCCACAGTTCCCTCATCTGTAAAACGAGGATAATAATATTTCCAAACTCACACCACTGTTGTGAGGACTAAGGTGCGTGTAAAACAGCCCAGTGGCTGACACACACAGCCAACACTCAATGTATACAAGCTGCTGTCATTGTTATCATTTTCATTCTTTTTAACAACCCTCGATAGAATTGTTATTGGGTTTAGCTTCCTGGGTCACATTAATACTCCAGATACGAAAAGTAAGATTCCGTTACAAATACCATTAAATCCTATCACAAACATAAGAAGATGCAGAATTATGACTCGGTAAGTACAACCCCCCTGATTTTCAGATTCACAGATATAAGGGATAAGTGCTTCTCCCCACTACCCCACACCTGATCTCTCACTGCCTGGAAGGACTCTGTTTTCCTGGGTACTCTTTAGGGAAGAAGGAATGTTTTTGTAGTCTGTTATGACACTTGGAGATGCACAAGCAAGGCTTAGAGCTCGTCAGCTTCAGAAGCTACCTTTTTTCCAAAGATTCTTTCCTTGGCACCAAAGAGGGTGCCAAAAAAAAAAAAAAAATGATGTCTCAGTGTTTGAGAAAATGTGTGCTCCTTTGTAACCTGAGGGGAGTCAGGCTGAACAGGTACCCTTTCTGCAACTTACTGAACCAAAATGCTTTGTATCTGTGGAATAGGCTACAATGTACATTTGGGACAAAGGGGAATTTTTTTAATGTATTAAATCTATAGCTTCCTCCATGGAGAAAGAGATCAGATTTGCAGTTACCAGGAGGCGGGGGAGAGGGTGGGAACTGGATGGTAGTCAAAAGGTATAAACTTCCAGTTATAAGACAAATAAGTACTAGGGATGTGATGTACAATGTGATAAGTATAATTAACACTGCTGTATGTTATATATATGAAAGTTATTAAGAGAATAAATCCTAATTTTAAAAAAAATTTATTTATTTTATTTATTTATTTTTTGACTGTGTTGGGTCTCTGTTGCTGCGTGTGGGCTTTCTCTAGTTGCGGTGAGCGGGGGCTACTCTTAGTTGTGGTGCGCGGGCTTCTCATTGTCGTGGCTTCTCTTGTTGCAGAGCATGGGCTGTAGGCATGCAGGCTTCAGTAGTTGCAGCACACAGGCTCAGTAGATGTGGCTCGCTGGCTCTAGAGCACAGGCTCAGTAGTTGTGGCGCACGGGCTTAGTTGCTCCGCGGCATGTGGGATCTTCCTGGTCCAGAGCTCGAACCCGTGTCCCCTGCAGGCGGATTCTTAACCACTGCGCCACCAGGGAAGCCCTTAAATCCTAAAATTTTTTATCACACACAATTATTTTTCTATTCCTTTAGCTTTGTATCTATCTGAGATGATGGATGTTCACTAAAGTTACTGTGATAATCACTTCGTGGTGTATGTAAATCAAATCTTTATGCTGTACACCTAAAACTTATACAGTGCTATATGTCAATTCTATCGCAATAAAACTGAAAGAAAAAATCTATAGCTTCCTCTACTCTTTTCAACTTAATTTAAGGTGTTTAAACAAACGATCTTTATAATAATAACATACTAACAATATATAGATCATTTGTTTAAACTACCTTAAATTATATATTGAATACATGTGTACACAGAGAGTAAATAGAGAGTATAAATTTAATAACCACGAGGAATATTATAACTGTGGTGTTTAAGCATAAAAGTTGGTTGTGATTTTCCTGGGGCCAAGCAAAATGGGAAACGTAAGTTCTGTGCCTCTTGGAGTAATGACTACCGGTAACTAGGTGCCTACCATTTCCTGGGTACTCAATTGTCTTTTACGTTTTTTGTTTCGAGTATATTACACTACTCTTTAAAATAGCTATTATCCCCACTTAACATATGAGGAAACTGAGTCTCAGAACCACTAATTGGCCTAAATTTATACAACCAGAAAATAGAACCAAGATTCAAAATCAAGAGCTGTCTAAATATTAAACGCATTTTTTCTACCTCTCCTATTAGAAAAAAAGACAAACCAATTTCATAACCGTTTCCCTCACTGTAAATTACAAGCGAAACTTCTCCCATGTGATGTCATAAATATAGGTGACTTCTATCCATGTTTGGAGAGGAAGAGAGAGGGAGCGAGAAAGAGAGAAATTGAGAACGTGTTTTTCCCCTCAGCCAAGACTTCGTAAGTATGAACTGGATATCAAAAGAAAATTCTATATGCTTTCAAGTTGCCATGTGGAAAGAAAAGTTCCTCTCTCCACACACTATATGGTGGTTGGATTTGGACGCCTGAACCATTCAACTTGACCACTTCTCCTACAGGCAAAACAGGACACCTCCAAGTCCCAGAAAGCTGGGTGCAAAGCTAAGGAGCACAGGAGGGTCTCAGGTGGCTGCCAGGTTCTCCAGGAGGGAGCCATCATTCCCTAGGCACCTATGCTTAGGGAATCTGGGGACAAACTGACGCAGTGTGCCACTCTGTGAGTGGGAGAAGACCTGCAATTTCCTCTACAGCAGCCAACCGTGGAGGGAAGCTGTAACTCAGGGCTCCAGGCTCCAGGGGGCGCCATGTACAATGTACCTGGAGATGTGGGCTGGGGAGGTCCTTCGTCAGGGCTCCCAGAGTCCTTATTGGAAACGCTATAGAACCAACATGAAAAGTCACGAACTTGGAGTCAGTGAACCTGCTTATGTCACTAACTACCCAAGTGACCTTGAGCAAGACATCTAATTCATCTGGGCCTCATCTGCAAATTTAAAAGGTCGACAGGTGATCTACAGGCACCCCTCCAGCTCTAACTACGTGTATCTACCACAGGAGAAATTGCCTTCCCTCCGACCTTGTAACCGGCCTTCTGGTTTCCATCCCTTTTATACACTTACCACCAAAATTCTCTTATGAAATACAGCTGTGCTCTTATAACATCTGTAATGGAGCATACAAAACCATCCACGAGGGGGCCCTCTGCCTACTGTCCTTTGCCTACTGCCATGTTCATTCATTCACTCATGTTTTCAATCGTTCTCTCAAGAAATATTTATGTATCCTCCACTGTGTCCCCGTGTCCACATTATCCCAGGCATATGCTGTTCCCTTAACACACCAAGCTTTTTTGTGCCTCTGCACTTTTGTTTATACTGTTCCTTTTGCTAGGAATGCCCTTCCCTCATTTTCCTCTAGAGCAACTCTTATTTAATCCAGTGCAAAAGTCATCTCCTTTCTGAAATTTCCTGGTGAGCTATCACCCGCTGCGTCTTCTTTAAATCTCAGACCTTGATCATGGTACTTAGCACATCATTTTGAAATTACATGTGACCACATGTAACAAGATAATATCTTGATACATTCAGAGGCATAATTTTTTCCTCTGCAATGTCCTTCACCTCTATACTTCTCTCACCACTCAGATTGAGGCTTTTCGTGTGTACTACCTTCAGGGTAAAGCTATTACTGCCAAAATGAACAGGGAAAGGAAGATTCATTGCACAGATTTCTGCACCAGTATGGACTTATGGGATTCACAGCAAACTTACAAAGCTGATAACTATGAGAGAAAATGGTTTTTAGATTCCAAGAGGCTGAGCATTTTAAGTACCAACGTCAATGTTTATACCATAAGTGAAAGACTCTGAAGCAAAGAGAAGAGCCCACTTACCAGCTCCTCCATCCCCACCCTCACCTACAGACTAGGTAAAAGTTGCCCCCACTAAAGAGTTAAAAATGGGTGCCAGTCTCCTGCCCGCTGCCCATCCTCAAGCCAAGTTGCAGGTGGGAGTGAGAACTGATGCCCCATCCCCTCTCCGGAACTGAAAGGCAGCAGAACACAGATGTGCCTTGAGCCGGTAGTGTAGCAGTGAAGGAGAAAATGTGGTGCATCTGGGCGAGAGAGGGACCAGTGAGCCGCTGAGTGGTAGGGAGACCAAAATCTGGAAGCTCCTGTGTCTTCAAGAAGCACAAGAGATTCATGAAAGACCACTAGTGATTCCAGATGCAGAGTGACTGCCATAGCCCTAGTGACCAGGGGGTCTGCAGGCGGCCACTACCAAGACCATGGCCCCGCCATGTGCATTTGTTACTTTTCTTCATGTCTCCAGTAGCTACCACAGTGGCCAGTAGATGTTCACGTTGTAAAATAATATAGCCAGGAAGACAGAGCAGTAAAGAGTCATAGGGAACACGAGCCCTGTTTGCACCATTTTCTTTAACTCTCCTCCTAACCCCCAAGAACCATTAATAATAGAGGAACTCTCCAAGGCATGGAAACAGAGAGGAGATTGCTGGTTGCCAGGAGCAGGGTGTGGGGGAATGGGGAGATGTTGGATGAAAGGGACACACTTTCATTTATAAGATTAATAAGCTCTGGGGATCTAACGTACAGCCTGGTGACTATAATTAACAATACTGTATTGTATTCTTGAAATTTGCTAAAAGGGTACATCTTGAATGTTCTTATCACACACACACAAAAAGGAATTATGTGAAGGCATGGAGGTGTTAAGGAACCTTATTGTGGTAATAATTTCACCATATATACATGTATCAAATCATTACATTGTTATCACTTAAATTTACAGCATGTTATTTATCAATTATGTCTCAAGAAAGCTGGGGGGGGAAGCTAATATCACCAAGATCACACACAAATAATAATAATAATAATTCTGACACTAGCACTCTGATGAAATACGAAAAAACAGATGACAGGTGTATAGAACTTCATAGTCTTCAGGTCCACAAGGTTCGTGAGTACAAGCTGAGACTGGAAACAAACAACTAAAGTATTTTTCAATCATCAATACTTTATTATATTAGTACTTGTTATATTAATTTTTCTCCTACAATTTCATATAATCAATATATCATAAATACATGAACAGTTTCCCTAGAGGTATAAATATCAGGCCAACCTCATCTATATTTAGCAAATGCTTAATAAACAGGTGCTGGATCCTTATCTCCATTCTTCCCGCCCACCCCATCCTGCACAGACCCTCCCACACACTCTTACATTGTGCTTATTTTATTTGTTGCCTTTTGTGGAGCAGAAGCCCATTTTACCAACAGGGCCCCCATCCAATGACGGCATGGCTGGGAGGTGGTCGTGATAGCACATAAGCAGAGTAGGTGAGGGTCCTGCATTCTCCTCCATCTATTTTCAGGGGGGTGGGACATAGGAACATCTCAGGACCGTATAAAGATTCTGAAGCCCCAGAAAGTTACTCTATCTAATACAGAGCTTTGAGAGTCCCATGCAGATCTTATGAAGAGACCTGGGAAGTGGACAGAATTGGGAACCACACAGGACTCATGGCAAAGTGCTGGGTAAAGAGGGGCGTTTCTACAGCTTCTTCAGCTGAGCTGATCTGCCGCCCTCAAGCCACGCACGTAGCGGACGATGGGGGTGACACAGGTGCAACCAACAGTCACCCGCACCTTCTCCAGCCGGAAGGAGCGAGAGCAACCCTGGGACTCCCTCCGAAGGACCAGGAACTCTTGCTGGATGGGGACGGAATTCATGGAGCTGTCTTCCTTCCCCTCGGCGTTGATGCAGCCCGTGTGCCTGCACCGGGCCTCTGCGATCTCGGAGGGGTATCGGTGGGGGTCCCGGGTGACGCTGCAGGAGGAGCAGGGAGAAGCCGATGGTGAGACCGGGGGTGGGAGGCGGGGAAAGATGCACAAAGGATGGGGGCCCCGCGGCACTGGGCGCCCACTTGCAGGGAGGCGGTGCCGGGCAACTCAGGGCGGCAGCGCAGGCGCGGAGCAGACACCCTGGACTCAGACGCAGGCCCTTGGCGGGTGCTTAACTCCTTAGGCCTCAGTTCCCTCAACTTTAAAATGGGGGTTCGCAAATTCGTCTCCTGTGGGATTGTTACCAACACTCAGTGATACAAATGCGTATGAAACGCCACACCGTAAAACGTTGGCATTCCATACATGTTAGATCTTTTAGTTCATTTTCCTTTTCATTTTTATTATTATAATCATCATTCATCCTTTGGTTAGAGGCTGAACATCACTAGGAGGTCCCCCAGTACACAGTCTACAAAGCCTGCTGCTTGGGAAAGAAAACCAAAGCCCTGGGGGGTTGGTGAATCCAATGTCTTCTTTCAATTTCTCCCTGAATAGCCCCCTTGCCAGGGGGAATAAAGGCAGCAAAGCCAATCCAGCCAGCTGGCAAGCGTACACTCTGGCTTCCCAAGGCAAGCAGTGCAGGCAGCCCCAGAAGCACTTTTAATGGCCCTCGGGCTCTGTTTTCATACTTATATTTAGAGCATATAAATGAGTGCTTGCTATTCCGAGAACCTCCATGTGAGACAAAATCCCAAGTCTGTACCCTGAACATCCTCACCTAGCATCCCCTTCCCAAACTGGCCTTTCTCCTCCACTCTGGCCTCCTCCACACTCCTTGAAGACTGAAATCCAATCTGAGTGGCTCTCTCTGAACTGACTTTTCTGGTTCCCACTTATCTCTATGCAGAGACCATTATGTGGGCTGCTTTAAAGAGTCCTCTCTTCCAGCACAGAAAGTTTGTAAATTCCAAATCCAGGGCTGCGTGAAGCAGAAAAGGGCAAAGCGTCGATGAGAGTTTGGAAGCAAAATAGACCTTCGACCACATAGGAGGACTTAGCCCAAAATAGCAAGAAAATGTGAGCACCCAGGGAAAGTGGAATTTCCGTTTTTCAGAGTGAATGTCAGGACTATTATTTTTTCTATATTTTTGAAATTTTCTACTTATGGTTAGAATAAATTAACATGTTTTTCAAAAGAACGTGGAGGTCAGTCTCCTTGGCACATACTTGTAATCCCAGGGGGTGCTGGAGCGGTTCTGGAAGCCGTGTGAGAGGGGAACGCCCTGATTCTGCCTGAGGATGCGGATGTCAACCCTCACAGTGTGGTCCTCCGGAGGGGGGCAGAGGGCAGGATCCCCAGCTTTGGGGCTTTTCCGACCTGCCACCTCCCCCAGGAGGGTCAGCCCCAATGTCAACAGCAGCAGGGACTTGACCTGGAAATAGATGAGAATGGAACTGGTTAGGGACTCTGGTGTCACTTGCTGACAAGAGACAGGTCATGCTTCAGCTGAACTCAGGGATGGGATCAGGGCTCCTCTCTGAACCTCAGATCCTCACCTGGCAACAGGAACAGTCATAATAAGATACCAGCGTACCAACCTGAGAACTAAACTCATTAGCCTGGTGATTGAGCCCTCCACAGTCCGAGAGCTCCTGAACAGGGAGAAAGACAGATGTCAGGATCTGGGACTGGGTTTAAGTCCTGACCTGGTCTCTTCACTGAGCCTCTGCTTTCTCTTCTTTCCAGCCAGAGCATAACACTTGCTTCATAATAATATTCCCAAGATTAAATAAAACGTTCTTTGTAAAGCACCTACAATAAAAATAGGGGCTTAAGAAATGGTAACTCTTGCTTTTAATTTCCAACCTCACATCCATGAATCCTCCACAAAACTCTTTGTCCCAGCCATCCCTCCACCTGGAATACACTGCCCCACCCCTATCCATCCAAATCCTCCCCTTCCATCAGGGCCCCCACTAGGACTCCGTCTCCTCCAGGAACTGTCCTGAAAGTAGTTCATTCATAAAGCTTTTACCATCTAGCACTCAAGCAGCCCTTCTTTATTGTCTGGACATGCAGTATTTGTGTTCATACAGATCTACACCTATTAGATGGTAAGTTCCTGCAGGAGAACATGTCATAGAACAGGTGTTCCAAAATACTTTCTGGATGAATGAAAGAGCAGGTGAGTGAATGCATGAACAAAACAATCCATTTAAATTAACAACATAGTTAAGCTCAACACATTAAGAAAAACACCATGCAAAACCAACTATAGCAGAGTTCTAATGACCCATGCTGACTGAAGGAAGCAGAGGCACTAAGGATGCACAAGAGAGAAATGGAAACTATTTCTCTTTAGCTCCAGAAAATATATTTTTTATACTTACATTGAAATACCCGTTTATCTGGTATTACAGGAGTGCACAAAGAAAGCGTTCAGTGAAGACCTAACTAAAATAAAGGAAGAGCTAAAAATCTCTCCAGCTTCCCTTTCTCACGACCTGCTTTGCTCACCCCACGGTGACCACCGACCCTCTCTGGGGATGGACAAGCCTCATCACCAATACTCAACATAATGCAGACCCAGGGCTGAAAGTGAGTTACTTTCATCCTCAGGGCTCAGTGTCGTTCAGGCTCACACTTTCCGTGAGTTAGGGTTGGGAAGGTGCTTAGACATGTTGATTTAAAGGACCTTCTTTTTATCTTTTGCAAGTGCTGGAGGCAGGAAATGATAAGAGTAAACAAAAAGGTCATGGCGTCAAGTGCTGTACTAATGTAGCTGATACTAAAAAGAAGCTGAAAGCAAGATTGACCCAGATAAGCCTGAAAGAGGCTGATTTCCCTCCAGATAATCAGCAGATGTCTACTTTTGTCTCTTGCAATCATTCATTCATTCAACAACTCTTTCCCGTCTCTGGAGTCAAAAGTCCTGGGTCCATAACTCAGTTCCAGGACTCTTACTAGCTGTGACTCAGTTTCCTCCACCAGCAAATGTGGAGATTAAATGATAGGACCCATATATAGCATGAAGAGCAGGGCTGGGACATGGAGAGTATTCAGTATAGGTACTATTGTTAAGTCTACATTGTCCTAATGATACACAGTGGACGAGAAAGATGTGGAATTTGCCCTCACGTAACTTCTGTCTAGACAAAGCACTATGACATTTTAAAAAGTAAAAGGATGCCTGCTTAGACAAGACGGTCCTTAGCTTCCCAACATGCTCAGCTCAACCTTTTACTTACTGCACTGTGAACTCCCGTAAAGAGAACATCTGAACACTTGTCTCCTGAACTCACCTGTGATTCGTGCTCACCCCATGTAGGAACATGCTCCAGAACCCGGGCAGCTCCCAGCCCATAAGAGTTTGCCCTACCACCGTATTGAGGATGTCCTGTGTGCCTGCACCTCCAATTTCTAACCCTATTCTAATGTCCTTTGCCCTGTCATGTTTCTTGCTGACAGTACAACAGATTTCTTCAAAGAAACCAAAAATAGATGTGGCTTTAGAACACAAAACTATCCAACAAATTTGTTTAAACACAATGGCTTTAAATTCAGAAATCTTGCTTCTGAACCATTCAAGGAAAAGAATATTACTTGGAGCCAGTAAACCTAGATTCATGTCCTCATTCTTGGGCATACAGTATCCAGTGATGTTAAATCACTTAAATTCATTGAGCTGTTGTTCATATGCACAATGGGGAAAGTCGTCCCAATCCGCTCCCCTGGATTGGTGCAAGACTCAGAGGTAAAAATAATGACATCATTAATATTAATATTTAACATTCTAATTCGAAAAAATACATGCACCCCAATGTTCATAGTGGCACTGTTTACAGTAGCTGAGACATAGAAGCAACCTAAATGTCCACGGGCAGATGAATGGATAAAGAAGATGAGGTATGTGTGTGTGTGTGTGTGTGTGTGTGTATATATATATATATGTGTATGTATATATAGTGGAATACTACTAAGCCATAAAAAGAATGAAATAATGTCATTTGCAGTAAAATGGATGGACCTAGAGATTATCATACTAAGTGAAGTAAACCAGAAAGAGAAAGACAAATACCATATGATATCATTTATATGTGGAATCTAAAATATGATACAAACGGACATATTTACAGAACAGAAACAGACTCACTGACATAGAGAACAAACTTATGGTTACCAAAGGGGAAAGGGGGCGGGGGAGGAATAAATTAGGAGTTTGGGATTAACATATAGACACAACTATATATAAAATAGATAATGAACAAGGACCTGCTGTATAGCACAGGGAACTATATTCAATATCCTGTAATAAACCATAATGGAAATTATGGTTTATTTATTCACTTATATATAACTGAATCACTTGCTATATACCAATGTTGCTAATACAACATTGTAAATCAACTCTACTTCAATTAAAAAAGAATTTATTGAATGCTTTCTCTATCCTTATTGGTTGTTATATTAAAATGGCCAAGTTAACTAAAAGCCATGCCTGCATATATCTGCTATTTCAGAGAATAGGTTTAGTCATTCTCAACGATATCAATTAATCCTTCCATGAGGGAGATACCATTATTATTCCTCTATACAGATAAGCGGAATAAGAATGCACAGAGAGGCTAAGTAACTTACCCCAAATCCCACACTTGGTAAGTGGTGAGGCCAGGTCTGTCTGACTCCAAAGCCCATGCCCGCTAACTACTGCACTTGGCTGCATTTCTTACCATCTCTAAAACAGTATATGAATATAACGTAGTATTATCATCACCACATGCCATGACCTTTTATGAAATCCAATCTCTTTTAAGTTGCATGGCTTGTAAAAAGAGAGAAGAAAAGGAGTATTTAAACCAATAATATGGTGAGTGGTTTCCCAAGCCCTGCTTTCATGCTGCTGTATTTTAAATTCTTCGAAGGTCTTACCTGACGAATGCCAGGTGAGATTCTAGACCCAGGGGATGCAGATTTCCATCACATTAACATCTTCCTCTCCTCCAGGAGGAAGGAGACAATGCAAAAATGACCAGCTCTCAGAGATGTGTCAAATGTCTCTCCCATAGGAGCCGCCCAAGTGCATCACCAGGTGATTTCACTCCCTGCATGCAGGGCGCTCCTTGTCATCCGCTCATCTTGGGGGGATCATTACCCCTATTGGGGCCCCAGCTTCCTTGGTTAAAATCAACATGTACAGCTCCTAAAAGTCTGGCTAAGCTCCCCCATGAGATGAGGGCCAACTTAACTCTACAATGGTGGCCACAAGAGAGACCATGTCCAGTTTGTGATGTCAAGAACTTCAAAAGCTAACACCAACTATGCCAGAGCCATCGGTGAAGAGCTATGGTTTTACACTCCATTATAATTTCTGGTTATTTTTTCTTTTTCTCCACCAGACAAGGATCAGCGTTAAAGTCAGCTCTGTTTTTTAAAGAAATGACCCCCCAAAAGACCCCAATCTAGCATCATTCCTTATAAATCTGCTTTCCTGAAATCCTAGGGATGACCAACACAAGAATGATCCTGACTACTCACCACGGCCATGTCACGCAGGAATGTCATTGTCACTTTGCTCTGGTCACCTGTTTCGTGCAGGAAGCTCTTTCTGTGCTGTGTTGCCTTCTGTGTGCCCGTGTGGTGTCAACGAGAGCACTGTTGGTTTTATAGCAATCTCTGTCCTTGTTTCAGTTGACCTGCTTACTGTCTAACTTGTGGTTGCCCCAGAGTTACTGACGAATGTAGTGTTGTTTTTTTTTTCTATTCCACTTCCTGAAGGGGAATCGAAGGGGGACCCTAAAAAGGGATGATGAAAAAAGAATCAAATCTTCCTCTTCTTCTGCCCCACTCCCACCCCCATTGTCCTCACACTACAGCAAATTTTCTTATGTACTACAGAGGTGAACCAAGTGACAAGCTGCTGTCATGATCTTTCATGTTCTTCCACAAAATGGCTAAGAACTCTAGTCACGCACCTTACATTCTACTTTCCAGTCATGCAATGTAAGCTGAGATTTAAGCGGATAAGTCATCCTTCGAGGAGGCTCGGTATTAAACAGAGGACTATCTTTAGCTCCGTTTTATGAATGGAAAAAACAAAACCAGAGAAATGAATGGCATCAGTGAGAGATTCAGAAATTATATCCCAGGCAATTAGTTTCATGGTCTCCCTGAACTAATTCTGTTTTAACCCCATGGTTAGACTCCTACCAGTGTTTGACAGATTGATAATCATTACTTATACAACATATAAACAACTATTATCTTGGCTGTGTCTGACTGAAGATGGTTTGATTTTTTAAACTAAATGGATTAGCAAGTAGAACCTTTAAATGCTCTGATGTGTAATTTTAAATGACTTGCAAAAATGTTAATTTATCTTAGTTCAGTTCAGGTCAACATTTATTAAGCACTTGCTGTATGCTAGGCATTATAGCCTAGGGATACACAGACATTTCTGAAATAACAATAAATTACTCTTTTTAATGCCCATTAAGATCAGGTAAAATTACACATGCTCTGTTAATAAGGCAGGGCACATTCTAGCAGGGTAAGGTTACTCTCCTCCATCACGTGTTTGAACAAGTTTGCCCCATTTTCTTCAAATGTAGGAAATAAAGAGGAAACAGCTCTTGGGCTCATGAAGCCCCTCCAAGATTGATCAAAATTCTTCTGTGATCATGAGTCTTTCACCCGTGTTTCTCCTCCCCATGCCTGTGCGTTCTTCTCTACACCTCTTCTCTGGGACAATCAGAAATGTAACCCCCTAAGAAGACCTCCTTGAATCACCGTTCCCTCCCTCATTACTCTGTGCTCATCTTTAGTCTACCTCACACTTGCTTATATGTTTTAGGATGGTTCTCTGGGGTCTTCATGGACTTGGGGTAACTTCAGTTCCCCCCAATAATCTCTGCCAGCATCCTTCTCTAAATATATATCCCCAAGTATACAATCTAAATTAAGACAGTGTATATATACAATGGAATATTACTCAGCCATAACAAAGAATGAAATAATGCCATTTGCAGCAACATGGATAGACCTGGAGATTGTCATACTGAGTGAAGTAAGTCAGAGAGAGAAAAACAAATATATGATACCACTTATATGTGGAATCTAAAAAAAAAAAAAGTGGTACAAATGAACTTATTTACAAAACAGAAATAGAGTCACAGATGTAGAAAACAAACTTATGGTTACCAAGGGGGAAGGGAAGGAGAGATAAATTGGGAGATTGGGACTGACGTATATACACTACTATATATAAAATAGATAAGTGGTAAGAACCTATTGCATAGCACAAGGGACTCTATCTACTCAATACTCTGTAATGGCCTATATGGGAACAGAATCTAAAAAAGAGTGGATATATGTATATGTATAACTGTTTCACTTTGCCGTACAGAAGAAACTGACACAACATTATAAATCAACTAAACCCCAATAAAAGTTAGTTTTAAAATTAATTAATTAAGACAGTATATTTTCTATGCATACACCAATTCAAGACAAGTCCCCTAGGCAACCCCTTCAGGGGCTTTCCCTGAGCCCATCTTATAGAGAATTTTCAAGGCCTCTCTGGATACATTCTTCCATATACTCGGTGAAGCTGACACCGTGAAATCAAGAGTCATGTTTTCAGATTTGCTTGTATCACACAAGCTATCAGAGCAATACGTGCAATAGACCCTTAAAAGCGTATTAAGTTGAGTGGGCTGAGCCACTCACTTTCTGCAACAGTCTCTTCTCCACGCAGAGCCATACCTCCATGCAGAGAAGACCACAGCAGCTCTCCCGGAAGAAGAAACAAGGAAATCGCCTTGAGTTAAGAATGCCTGATTCAATACAGAAGGATTTGCTGGTTGCAGAGAAAATTAAATAATTTTTTTTTAATGTAAGAAGGAAGCAACGTTGAATTTTCATGTGCCCAATGGTCACAAAGTTTTCCCCCATCAAGGTAAAACTAACTAACTTATCAGGATGTCAAACTAGTAATCAACCATCACCAAGTTTGAATTCCATCAGTGGATCCAGATCATTCTTTCTTCTAACAATAATAAACCCTTCTTATTTGGGGACCCAGTAATAAATATATGATGAACACACAGCTGATTATGGTGGAAGCCCTTCACTAACTGGCCCTGTACCACTTGCGGCCCAAGCTGCTTCTGGCTTTAAGAGTTTCAATAATTCAAGTGGAGCTATCATTCAACACACCAACAGCTACAGCACTCTACACACAATTCCAAGGGCCCACAGAAAAAGACAGCAGGAAGCTCTGTAGTGGTATGAATGAGTTACACACAGCCTCCATGTCGTAAAATATTACAGCTGTTCAAACATTCAATTAAGCAAGATTTTTGTATGCCCTCCCATGTTCTGGAAGCCGTGCTGCATTATAGGTAATAGACTGTACTAGTAGAGTCTCTACCTTAATGAGTTTAAAATATAGTTATGGAACGAAAGCAAACACACGTATATTAACCAATAAGATAACGACACGGGATTGTTGGATATATTGAGAGCTAAATGAACACATTTAGTTTTACAAATCCAACCCTCAAGAGGTTTCATCTTCACTCAAGAAAGGGGAGTCTAAACATTTGCAAATATTTAATTTAATGAGGACATACATTCATAATTAAAATCTTTTTACACTATAGTTTGAATTAATGTATTTTATATTATTTTGCAGTAAAACATAATTCAGATTTCTATAGGCCTTAAAACCACAGACAGTGCTTCCTATTTGAATTGTCTTCTGTAACAGACTTCACTAAAATTGGACCAACTTGAAGGAAAGAAAGAAAGAAAGGAAGGAAGAAAGAAAGAAAAGGGAGTCTAATCAAGAAATGTTGGCACAACCTAGCAGTATACATGTGGATACAGAAATCGATGCCTAGAAGTGAGGGGCTTCCACAGCAAAAGGCTGAAATGGTGGCATTGTCCATGGTGGTCAGGTGGTAGGCTATGATGACAATGAAATTGGAAGCTAGATAAATGATGACCAATGTTATGAATGGCAAAACATTTGGTAAAATTATTGCCTGCAGTAACTTGAGAGGCAGATATTGTACCTAGAGGTCCAATAAGAGCTCTAAAGGAGGACACTGGGAACAGAATGCCAGCTATGTGTGTTGGAGGTTATTGTCTGCATTTGGTGAGGTAACACAAGAAAGACATGAGCTCAGGAAAGAGTAGGCAGGTTTGCAAACAAAAATGAAAGAGAATGAAGAGAGTCCAGAAATTCAGAGCCTTGCAAGTTTGGAAAAAACCCAACTATTTCTATCCCCACAAAGCAAAAGATACGATTGGAAAAGCCTCTGAGGTAGAAGTGCCCAGTAAAACCTTTCAACCAAATACATTTCCTACAAGCGGGAATCAAAATGAAGCATCTGGAAATCCCTTTACGTAGGTAAGAGGACTCAGAAAAAAACAGTGTAAGGGTAGAGTTCTAGCAATCTACCATTAAATCAAGACAGGGAGAGTTATACTTGCCATCACTATTTCAGATGCAGCCAAAGAGCGTATTGGGGGGGAAACCTCCCAGCTGGGTGGAGCCAGCAACCACAAAGAGTACTGGGGAGGTGAGCCCTGCTCAAAAAGCAGAATCTGGGTCTGATCAAAGCACATCCCACACGCCCTGGCTAAGGGAGCCCCACAATGTCAGCCAAACAGGATTTCAAGGTTGTAACAGATCAAACCTACTGTGTGCACCTCCCATTCTTTCTCTCTCTAAATGGAAGTGTTTCATCCTAGTCTAAACTGACTGAGAGAGACCTTAAAAATTTTACAGGATTTTCTTACTCTCACTGTTTATCAGAGCTCTGACTCCTTATTAAAATAGCCAGTTAAACAATGTTAGCATATAACAGGTTTAAAGAATATTGATAAAGAATTAAATGCAAAATATAAATTATCACTATCTCATTATCATTCTTATTATCATTCACTATCTTATTCACCAAACAAAAGCTATTAGTATATAATTTACTTTAACTCCAGTCTTTTTTCTAAATGAAATTAAAACACGCCTTTCTAATTTCCCTGAAGCACTGATTTATTTATGTTAGAGTCAGACCCTCTGAATATGGGTTAAAACATTAGGTCAGAATGGCCTCAAAGCATTATGGCTTTTATTCCCAACCTTCTTGCAGCTCTCCTCGTCATCAAGCACAAAAAGTTTTCCTCCTTTTAGGCTATTCAAACTAATTAAATATAAGGTTTATTTGCCTTTTCAGTCCCTAGATCATTTAGAAAGTCCATGTCCCATTCCCTTTCATAACCCTACTTCTCCGTCCCCTATTGAAGAAAAATCATGGAGCATCCTTAAAACTATAAAGCCACAGACCCTACAAATCCACATAATTCTTTTTTTTCTCCCTTTTAATACAAACGACTGTTTCCAGTTTCAGGATTCTTTGCATCCATTACTTCATGTTTACCTATTTGTTTGAGTCAAATATTCAAACCCATTATGTACTTAATAGAACCTCCATAAAATCACACTCCATAGCAACCAATTCTTTTCTTTTTAAAGGTCAACATATTTCTACTGTGAAAAGATTTTCAAGAACAAAACAGCTTTACTTTTGGGTTAAAAATCAGAGTTCATTACAATGATTATTTTTCAGATGAAAATGCTGCGCCAGGGTCTTCACATGCCGAGGTTTGTGGCCATAGGAATTATTTGGGGCTTAGACACAGAAACCTTCTCTCTCTCTCTCTCCCTCCCATCCTCCCTCCTTCCCTCCCTCCCTCCCTCCCTCCGTGTGTGTGTGTGTGTGTGTGTGTGTGTGTGTGTGTGTGTGTATCTGTCTATTGTCTAAAAAACAGTGTAATTCCTGATCTTCTGATGAAAAGGTGAAGAATCTATGAAAGAGTTACAGGGAACAGAAATGAAGGGAGGGGATTGGAGGCAAAAGCTGAAAAAGAAAAAAAGTATCAGGTTGGGGGAAGACTTAGGAAAGCAGTTTCCCAGAGTGCTGCGTGAGAACTCTGGATGGAATAGGGTTGAGGTCACTGGAGAAAGTTCCAGATCAAAAGCAGAACCCCTCAATTCTGAATCTATTCTATGAACCATGGAGCTGTGTGCACCAGAATTTTATCTCCGTATTAACAAAAACACCATTTATTAAATGCCCACTCTGTGCCAGTCGCCATGCTGGGTACTTAACATGGATAAGAAGAAGAAAAATAAAAGTACTATCCATAAAAGAAGAAAATCATCATGAGTTTCCTCCATCCAGGAGTGCCATGAACTTCATGTTAGACAAAATGGCACTTCTGTTTTGGAGAGAACTTACCTTAGGCCTTTTTGGAAGCGCAAAGATAGAGTCTATCTCTATCCAGGGTAAACACAGAGAGGGAAGTTCTATTCTTCCACGGTGGAAACAGAGAAGGAAATCACTACACATACAAATAACAAGAACTTGAGTTATCACCAGAGAGAAGAGAAATGGAGAGAGATGCCAGTTAGAAACTTCAGTAGCTGACACAGCAAGGGAACTTTAAAGAGTCATGAGCCTAGTATTCAAATTGTTTCCATGTCTACATTGTGCTTTAATTCTCTTCCATTATTACCACATCTAAAATAAAATTCTTTACATGCAAAACAGTCCTATGATGTCCACACAGCAGCAAAGAGATGTGGAAAGAAAAGGCAGCCTCAGGAGAGGAAGCAGCAGAAATGGGTCAACAAGAATTTGGAATGAGAAAGTAAGCACCAGCCCCACCCCTGCTATCTAGCTTGCTAGAACCTGGGAGCTTGTTAAAAAGGCAGAATCGCAGTTGATGGTTGTTAACCAGACTTATCGTGGTGATCATTTCACAATACATACAAATATAGAATCATTGTTTTATACCTGAAACTAATATAACATGTCGATTACACCTCAATTTGAAAAAAGAAAAAGTAGCAAAGTTTGCATTAGAAGAAAATAGATAATAAATATGTGAAAAAAAACCCAGTTTAA